CAGGGCTCTCTAGATGCCGCTGGCCCCACTGCTACCAGGGCAGAATCCCACAGCCAGAGCTGGGGCAGAGCTCCGCAGCCATCTGGCTCTGTGGCCGCACCTGGAGCTGTGCATCCAGGGCTGGTCCAAAGGGCCAGGGCCGGAGCTCCGTGGCCACTGCTTGGGTTGGAGCTCCCCTGGGCCGCAGCTGGGACCAGAACTCCCTGCTCTGCTGCCTGTCTCTACCCCCCCCACACACACACACTGGGTTGCTGGTGCCCCCTAAAGTGCTCCTGCCCCACCACCAGACGTTCCTGCTGCTGGCCTGTGTGGTTCAGGAATATGTGTGGTCCATGCCGGGCCATGGATATTGGCGGACCAGGGGGTCCCAGTTAAGGGAGGTACAACCTGTATCTCCAAAAGGGATTGTATTAATCTGTTTTTAATTATTTATTCCTTTCAACTCGCCATTTCAGGAAATGGTGCTGATTTAGTATTGTTCAACACCTGGTGCACTCATTGATAATCACACTTGGTACATTATTCATGTCTGGCACTTGCCTCTTCAAAATTATATGGGAACAAATGCAACTTGCCTCTTTCTGAGTCTAGCCAACTGCTGTTCATTAGGTTCCAGCTCTTTTAATGGCTCTTATTGTGTATGTATGGGAGCAGAATAATGGGGCTGAATGAAAAATCTCCTTTTTTTAAGCGGTAAATATCCTCATGAAATCACTAACTCTATAAAGGATTTCATTTCATTCGTACAATTGGTATGCTTAATGGGATTCTTACTCTGCTTTAGATATCATAAACAGGATAGTTAAGCACTTAACGTCTTTGAATTTGGTATCTAGGTTATAATCTGAGTAGTCTGTGCATCTGTTCAGACTACTTTTTATCGTTTTACCCTTGTTTTTCTCAGTAGTGAATCAGACTTGTATAAAGATGCGGCAGAATTGCCAAATGAGCAAGATCTAGTGAGAGAAGAAGCACAAAAAATGAGCAGCCTTTTACCTACAATGTGGCTTGGAGCACAGAATGGATGGTAAGAAAATGCTAATTGTAAACTACTAAATTAAAAAGATGATTCATTTTAAATCTATTTTTGGAAAGAGTTTAAATAGGAACCTAAGAGCTAAGATGAAGGCCTTGTCTCCACTTACCAGGAGATCAGCACTGCGGAGAGCTATCTCCCAGGTTTTGATTTAAAGAGTCTAGTAAAGACCCACTAAATCAACACTTATCGTGCTTCCATCGAGTCTGGTACTCTACTAGGTCGTGAGGACTAAGGAAGTTGATGGGAGAGTTTCTTCTGTTGACCTCCTGCAGTGGAGATACCATGGAAATTCGAATGAAGGTATATCGACTCCAGCTACGTAGCTGGAGTTGATACCTTAGTTTGACTTCGGCCAGGTCTACGCTAGGGGACAAAGTATGAGAAATCCATAAAAGGAAGGAAATTCTGAACCAAAAATGCAGTACTAACTTTGTGTGCTTTACTGTGCCTTGGCATTATATAGCATATGGAATGTATCATTCTGTAGTATAATATACCACACTGTATGGATATTGTAGGTATTTAACCAATTAAGATATATTTTTCAATACAAAATTAATTAGTTATCTCTGACATGTCTCTAGAAAAGGCTTTATTGAAATATTTATTGAGGATTCTATAGTACTGAATGTCATCATATTTAGAAATATTTACTATCCCAAGCACAGTCTCTGTGGATAGATATTCAGTATTGTTTTGGGAAGCCAGTGGGTGAGCTGTAGAAATATTGCAGTTACCAATGTGACTGTAATTAAGTTTTTAGCCTGACAGAAATTAATTATAAATTTTTACATTGTCTGAAACTGTAACGTAATCTTGAAATATTCATGTTTAATTCATCCCAATTATGTCCTTGCAGCTTGTATGTTCATTCTTCAGTGGCCCAGTGGAGGAAATGTGTTCATGCTATTAAACTAAAAGACTCTATTCTCAGTATTGTGTAAGTTGCTTGAAATAATGTTTTGTAAATTTTGCTGACTTAGTGAAACTTTATTATAAATAGAATAATGACAGTGTAGTTTATGTATTTTCATTCTGAGTTCGAGACACTAGTTAAACTGAATTTCCTTAATCTTTTAGGAAACATGATTAAGAGGAGGGTTAAGTCAGGTTAGTGCAGAGCAGCACAAATAAAAGGGATTTTATGGGTCCTGAAATACCAAGGTTATTTCCAGGTTTAGGGCTGGTTTGGGGGACTTGTATAAAGGGGAAATTACATTTACTGTAAATTCATGTCCTGTTTAGATCTTTATATTGATAATATGAATTAGACACTAAAAATATACTTTTGCCTCCTTTCTTTACCAGACACGTAAAAGGAATAGTTTTAGTTGCACTAGCTGATGGAACATTAGCAATATTTCACAGAGGAGTTGGTAAGCATTCTGCTGAGTGATCTTAAACAGAATCCGTGATTGTACCGAGATGCTTCATGATAGAAAAGGAATAAATAAAATGAATAATTAGTTAATACTTTATTTTGAAAATAAATGTGCCATGTTATCTGATATTTGCAGACAGTGTTAAAATACAACCAGCATTTCCAGTCTCTTTAATGTATCTTGCCAAAAGACTACTTCTCTAGCATTTTGGTTGAAGTGTACTGTTAAAAATGTCCAGGCAAACTTTTTCAACAGTAATTAGGAATTCCCCTGTTCTTCTCTCTCTCTTTCTAGTAGATAACCAAGAAGTTCTCCTATTGGAATCACCACCTTGGATCCTCATTCTGAAGCTATTTTGAGTTGCCTCCAAGGCTGTGGAGTAATTGGAATTTTAAATTATAGGTACAGTAAATGAAGTACATGCATTGAGCCAATTGATCCTCAGCCTGTATCACCATCATTATTGCACAGCCCTTCAGTACAGATTTTTTTAGTCAGCTAGGTCATCTGAAATCCATGTTAGTATCACTCATCCCTGTCTCTACTTCAGGATCTTCTTTTAAAAGAGAAACTTTAACATTAGCTTGGTTTGCTTTGCCTTAGTTGGGTATGGTGGTATTGAAGCTGGTCTTCAGATACTTGTTTTTCATAGAAGATTTAATATCCTTATTCAAAAACAGGCTTTGTTATATTTAGGCCCCTACTGTACTTTTGAGCTGTATATAGTAAACCTATTGATCCTGGTCTCACTATGAGTAGCTGAATCTTATGCATGTCAGTAATCCATATTTTATGCTGTTACTCTTCAGCCCCTCTCTGAGCAATGAGATTGGCACAAGACAGAAAAAAGCAACAATGCTGATATATTAAGTCATAAATATAAACAAGTTTTGTTTTTTACTGTCACTTGTTTCCAAAATTAAGACTTTTTTAAGGTTGTGATGTACTTTTTGCCTTGAATCCTTAGCCATGTAAGGGCCATCATTCTGACATGTTTTGCAAAAACATTGTTTCAAATAATAGAAACAATCCATCACTTCAGAAACTATGCCATAAGCACTAAAAATAATACTCTGGGAGTTACTGTACTCCAATATATTTCCCTTTTGAAATCCAAGGAGTCGGACAAAAGTGTTCTAACTGGAAGTTGTCCTTGTATCATGAATTTCTAGAGGCTTTTTATTATCCAGTCTCACTTGATCAAGCTTGCATCTTCCTCTCTAGGTTTAGCATTGCTGCCAGTGTTTCAAATACATAATCCAGAGCTGTAAGTGTTCTCTGTAACACTTTGTAACTAGTCTGTTTGTCATAGAGGTTTGTTTTTAGTTACAGACCCTTGGTGGGATCAGGGTTGTTTTTTTTCCTTTTGTTCTCCACTCTTTCTCTTAAAATATACATAGAGGATAGAAATCAACTTTCAACTTCAGTTTAACCTTCAAGCCTCTTTGAGCATTGGAAAGATACTGTTTTTTCAGTATAGCCTTTTTTGGTCATTATATTAGCCAGAAAAGTTTTTCTTCATCAGTTATTTTCCCATCAAAATTAATGATATTTGAGGAAAGTGAGGGGTTATTCTGAGTTCTACAGAGTCAATCCAATGTCCTTCTGGTTTGTTAGACTTCCCCAGCTCTTCCATCTTCTGCCCAAGATCTGAGTGAGTTCTATGTACAAGCTAGGTAGCAAAAGCCATGTATCAAAGGCTTTAGGTTTTTCTGCCCATTAGTCATGTCCATGAGATGCACTGTACACCCTTGCCTCTTTGTGAGCATTAATAGTTGGTCATGGCTGCCAGCATTAATCTTTGTGCAAATGTTGTTTCTTAGCCCTATCATTCTTGGATAGACACTGTTCCTCATTCTTCTGAGTAAGAGTCTTTAGGAAGAACTGCAGCCTGAGAAGTAGGAGAGAAAGGGGTGTTACTTACCAGTAATTGGAATTCTCCTGTTGGATCATCACCACAGGCTTCTTGTATATTTGCTCTCTTCCTTGTGGTGTTTTGACTCCTTTTGATGAGCTTTTAATAAAATTAAGCAGGTGCGTAGCACTGACACAAATATAGAGAGAGGTTCAACTGGCTTGATACTGTCACTTCAGTTACCTAAAATTCCACTGGATACAGGGTCCTTGAAGGATCTCAAGTACATGTCAAAGAATGATGATCTCTGGAGGAGATTAACCTAGAGGAGAACTCCAGTTAATGGTGAGTGATCCCATTGTATGTGCTATTTTTTAAAAAAGGAAAAAAACAGATGGAATGTAGTGTTTAAAGATGTCATAGCATGCTCTAGACAATTTAGAGGGTAACCTCAGCATGCTGGCCAGCATTTCCATGCTCAAACAGCTAATAGTCAGTGCTTCATGTTGGCTATTGCTCATTGTACCTGTAATAAGCCTATCCAAGCACTGCATTTAGCTGCTTTTTAAAATGCTTTGGTATGCTGTGAGTCACTGTACAATTGAATTCTGTAGAACAAAAATTGCATGCATTTCCTTAGACAATAAGTCTCTTACTTAATTGTTTCAGTTTAATGGAAAGTATAACTGAATTTGAATGGACCTTTGAAATAAGTGTCTATCATAATTTAATAAGAATAACACACTTCTAAAAGTACCATTTTAAAAGCAAAGATGCATGAAAATTAACTTCTACAAATGATCTTAACATCTATGGATTATTCCTGTTTGTTTTAAAGATGGTCAGTGGGACCTGACAAACTATCACCTCTTAGATCTGGGCCGACCTCATCACTCCATTCGATGCATGACTGTTGTACATGATAAAGTCTGGTGTGGCTACAGGAACAAAATCTATGTTGTTCAACCAAAGGCCATGAAAATAGAGGCAAGTTAAAACAGTGTTTAGTTAACACACACACATACACACATTTTTTTTTTTGCTATTGTATTTTTGATTTTTCTTTCCCTCCCCTCACTGATGTATCAGTGAATCCAGAGAAGAAACTGTTCATCAGCACAGAAGCAGAACATCATTAACAAATTATCTTTTTGGTGTGAAATTAGTCAAATATCATCTAAAATTCAAGGGTAAAATCTCACACTATGGCTTTTACTTGAGTGTAAAGCACATCCCAAATCTGTTGATAAAATGGATGAAATTAATGCATCTATCTTGTGGAATCTGTGCATCAACACTCCATCTCTGAACAGATCTTGTGAAATAAAACTGGGTAACCAAACAGCTTCTACAGTGCCTAAAGGGAAAGCTCTCTCTCTCTCCATTTTTTGTTCTTCCCCTCTATTAGTAACTAGGATTTGGTCTTCCATATTTTTTGTTTGTAGAGGATGGATTATTTTAACTTAGTTTCTTCATAATGTTGTATTCAGAGGACATTTCCCATCCAGTTCAAACAAACTTGGAATTTACCTAGAGGTTCAAGCTTTTTCCGCACTGTACACGGCATGTTTCATATAAAAAAAAGCCAACATTTTCAAAAGTGACTAGTGATTTTAGATGCATTTGTTTTTGGCAGCCTAATGTGAGAGATTAAAAGGGCTTGATTTTTAGAGGCGGAATACTCAGCACCTCTGGAAAACTAGGTTCTTTGAAGAGTCTGAAGTTAGGCTCCAGAATCATTCATCAGTCTTGGATATCTTGGTCAAGGTCTCTCCTCAGAAAATCTTGCAATCTGAGGCAATATATGGAAAAAGAAAGTGAAAGAATAGATGCAGCCTCATCTGAATATTTATTGTTGATATTTGGTATGCCCTCTGTAGCTCCAGGATTGTTGTATTTAATTATGCTGGAGGACAGAATAGCAGTGGAAAGAGCCAAATGATTTTTAGGCAAATGTTTCAAAGTGTACCTGAAGGCCTGATAACACAAAAATATAGAAGTAGGAGAAGACAGGTCATACTGGAATGGTTGGTAGAGCATAATGGCTCATAAATGGGGATATAACAGCAAATGACTATAGAGATGTATATTGTGAGGCAGCATTGTGCCAAACCTTGAGAAAAACATGCTCAAGGTAAGGGAGCTTATAGGAAAAGTTACCAGTATTTATAAGATGAGGCTGAGAAGAGAGAGCATCTTGTCTTTTCCAAAACTAATCTAATTCAAAGTACAATCTTCCATAGAAATCGTTTGATGCTCACCCAAGGAAAGAGAGCCAAGTGAGACAGCTGGCTTGGGTGGGTGACGGAGTGTGGGTCTCTATTCGTTTGGATTCCACACTCCGACTCTATCACGCACACACGTATCAGCATCTTCAAGATGTGGACATTGAACCCTATGTAAGCAAAATGCTAGGTAAGTCACTGACTAATAAAATTAACTATAATGTTCTTTCCTTACTTTTGCTACTTAATTTTTTTTATCTACCATGGGTCAAACTGGTGTGTCTCAGCCAAGGAAGGAACTTAAATGAAGTAACAAAGAGCTGTAGTGGCATGGATTTTAACTTCCCTAATATATCTGATTCTATCATCACAAGTCAAATAGTATATAAATCTGCAGTCCTTTTAGTTCAATCTCTTGCCAACCACTAGGAATTCAGAACTATTTAGGAAGACAAGATGATAATGCATAGAAGTATATGAAGTCCCAGAGATTTTTCTCCCATGTTACTCTGAACTTTGACTGGAATTGGGCCTTAGTTTTGTAGCCTGTAAATGTGGGAGAAGGCTATAGGTTATCTTAAAAAGTTGCCTTTCATTTACAGGGGGAGACTATTGAGGCAAAACTTCAGATAATTTACTTTTCACAAAACAGAATACCCGTTTTCTGATTTCGTTATCATTAGTGATTTTTCACAGATCGCTGTTAATAAAATTAGTCTGAGACTTACTCCAGTATGATCTTCATTTCTTTCCCGAGAAACAGTATATATTTTTAACTAGCCAGGAAAAATATGATCAGATCTCTCTGAAATTGCCTTTAAATTAATCCCTTGATATGAGTAAGGACACTGTCTCTATCTTGTAAGCCCAGAAGTATTTAACTGTAATGCGCAGCATGAAAAAATCATGAACATCTTTAAAATTATACTGTTCATTAGTATAGTATTTTATTCCTTATAGAATCACGATTAGACTAGAGCACAGACCTGAAAATTGGCCTTCATGAGTCCCCTCTCTGGCTTGTGTGACTTTGAACACAACCATTATGCCTCAGTTCTGTGTAAAATGGGGACATTTTTCCATTTCATGTAGAAGTTATAAAATGCTCTGAGCTCTCTAGAAGTACAGAATTTTTATTGAAACACTTGTTTATTTTTTTAGGTACTGGAAAACTTGGGTTCTCATTTGTGAGAATCACAGCTCTTATGGTGTCTTGTAATCGTTTGTGGGTGGGGACAGGAAATGGTGTAATCATCTCCATTCCATTAACTGAAAGTAAGTAAAATGTGAATGAATATCTATAACTGAGTAACAAAAACAGTCAGTGAAACTACTGTAGAAATAAGACTAAAATGTGAAGTGTCATCCATGGATTTGGTAATGGATATAGATACTTTCACCTCCAGGTCTGAATCTGCTCCAGGTTAGTAAATATTTGAGGGCTTCTTAGCCTGCATAAAATGTATTGGTAACATCTGGTCTATTTCCTAGCAGACGATTCTTCATCTAAAAAGCACCTTTGGAAGGCCATGAATTATGGACACTTGAACTTGTATCCGTAAAGACTGTAGGAATGTTGGCAGTGAACTGTGTAAAAGTTTGATAGCATTACCTGTGATGTACCACTTGTGATTAGAGGGTTTTGATCATGACAATTTGGCATTTGTCATGAGCACTAAATTCACATTTTAATATTTATTTGGGCAGTGAGGATTTAGATAGTACAACTCGAAGTGGCCTTGTTTCAGAATCCATCACAATTGATAATATCGACTGTCTAGACAGACAAAACTCAGGCCACATCACCACTTATTGGCGGATCAGTGCTCTGGCAATTGATTTTCTGGGGTTTGATTTAGCGGGTCTAGTAAAGACCCACTAAATCAAACCTGAGGGCGCCTCTATCAATGCCAGTACTCCTTGCTGTTATGAGAAGTAAAACACTCCCATTAGCTCCCACTGTAGATAGGACACCAAGCTCAACTTATGTAGCTGGTGTTGACGCAGCTTTATTTATGTAGCTGCATTTGCATATCTTAAGCTGACCTTCCGGGTGTGGTGTAGACCTGACCTATGCTGCTTTTAAAGGCATAGCACAAGGGCATATGAATTGTAACTACCGTATTCAAATAAAGAAATTTAGTTGAATAAAATTCAGCCACTGGTGATTCAAAAAAGAGTTGCTTAAAAAAAAAGTTTTAACTTGCCACTTGCTTAGTGGTGCATTTAAAAATGAAATACTCACGTTCCAGAAAAAACAGTTAGTTGTACTATCCTTTATAAAGGCTGTCAACCTCCCTTTCTCTGCTCCCCCCCACCCCCCAAAAAAAGTTTATTCAAACAGGAACAAGTTTTAGGTACTATGAATTATAATTTTGTCTTGATACTCAAACATCTATTTAAATTCATTCCCTGAAATTTTGACAAAAAAGAGCTCCCTGCAGATTTCTTTGTTGAAATTTGGATCAAAGCTTTTAATAACAGAACATGCTTGAACAAAAGTTTCTGAAAGGAAAAGCTGGCAACTTTAAATAATAGTATTAGTTATGTTAAACTTTTTAGTGCATAAAGTTTTTGGTTTGACTGTAAATTAATGCTGACGAAAACCTCTCTCTTAAATTTTGCTGGTTGTAAAATCTTCATATTTTAATTCCTTTGTTGATAGCACGTGCATTATGTTTCTCATACTGTTCCATTACATGTATCATCCATTAAATAAATGTTTGTTTTTGCATTGCATGGGTGTATTGAGTGAAGACATAAGCATTTAAAATCATAATGAGTTTTGAAGTACAGGTTGAACCTCTCTTGTCCTGAACTTTCTGGTCTGGCAACATCCGTGATCCGGCAGGACCACAGAGGTTGCTAGACCAGAGAGCCCCAGCTAGAGGTTGAGAGCGGCTGGGAGTGGAGCCCATCTAGTCATCAGCGGCCTGTGTGGCCAGTGCCCTGGAGGTAGGGAACCCAGGGAGCAGCTGCCACCCCGAGTGGGATCGGGGAAACCCGGGAGTGGCTTGGGAGCAGCAGAGCAAGGCAGGTGAGCCAGAGGAGGTCAGGCCTCCGGGTTCTCCCGGGGCAGTGGCCAGGAGGAGCCATGGGAAAGCCTGGATGCCTGACCTCCCCTGGTCTGGCAATTCCTTTGTTTGGGACCGCTCTGGAACTGAAGGTGCTGGACCAGGGAGGTTCAACAAGTAGTAAAATCATGTGTCCAAAAATTAAATAGTTGCACTTACTTTGTAGCAAAGTCAGTTTTTTAAAAGCTCAGTGGGGATTTTCCTTTTAAAACTGTGAACCTGAAAAAGGACCCTATCAATGCCGGTAGGCTCAATTTTAGGTCTGTTAATATTCTGGTTTGTGGACACAGTAATTCGTCTCTCCCTGCTTTGTACTTAGGAGTAGGCAGGATTTGGAAAATTTCAGTACCCTGCCCAGGGCCGCTGACTGGGGAGGGGCAAAGGGAGCAGCTGCCCTGTGATCCTGCAATTTAAAAGTGCCTGGAGCTACCACTGCTGCTACTGCAGCAGCGTCTGGGCGCCCTGGGCCCTTTACATTGCCACTGGAGCCCCGAGTAATGCGCTCCAGGCACCAGTGAAGAGCTGATTGGAGGCTGGGGGCAGGGCCAGGCTAGTTCAAACCTTGCCCCTTCTGGAGCCAGCCCCCCTCCCACCTTGCCCAGGGGCCCACCAAGTCTCTCCACAGCCCTGACCCTGCTATTGTAAATGTTCATGATTACAAAAACAGACCAGGTAGCTTGCATACATGCTCAGCTACAAAAAATTTGTCCTTTTGGTCTGTTGGTAAGTTGATGAGCTGAGCATCTTATATAGAGCATAGTCGTCATTTCCTAGAGCTGATAAATTTATCAGGATGAGGAAGAAATATTAAAACATTATTTATACATTGTTTCGTCCCTGACATTTCTGATAGGGTACATTGAAGAAAAGAGAGAAAGGGGAAACTTTACTATTTAATGATGAAACTTAATGATAAAAATATCGTATTAAAGTGATGTGGCCTTTTGTTGATCATTGATCATGAAACCACAGAAGATATTGTTCTGGATTACTTTTATTGAATCCCCTGTTTTTAACTTAGGAGCTAAAATCTAAAATTCTGTCTTATCAAATACCAAAATATGAGAGTGGTAGGTTCTCATTAATCCTTCTCCTCTACTGTCATACCTATCCATTTCCCCTTTCCTCCTTTCTCACTTTAGCTGTAATCCTCCACCAGGGACGTTTACTGGGGCTGAGGGGTAAGTGCAGATCCTGAACCAAAATCTTATTTTCAGGCTTCTAATAGCCACTTTAAGGCTGTTTCCCACTTCCTTAGATTGACCCTTTGTATGTTCCTCAATGTTTTTCCACTCACAGTTACTGCATTGCAGCAGTTTTATGTTTGCTAAACGGCCACCAATCTGCTCAGCAGTTTAGTGTATCATCCTGTGTTGCAGCTGAACTTTCTTTCATACAGACTTTGTTTTTCTTCCAACAAATAATGTGATACCATATCTCATAACTTTGTCATTAATCCTCACCGTTGACTTTCTCTCATTACAAATCACATTTTTCACCCCTTTGATAGTCTTTGGAATGGAGATGGCTTTTCTGTCTAGCATAACTAAGAAGCACTTTTTATCAGTGGGTTTTAACTCATCCCAGAAAAAACTGAACACTGTTTATAATGGTGTAGTTGCTTTATGCCCACAGCTGGCAATTTGTAGTAGAGTTTGTGCTGGCAGTGGGACATCTATAATCACACATGCTAAGGAAATCTTTTTTTAAACATTTTAATATATAACTACATTTGAATGCTTTAGACTTCATTTTCATTGACGTCAATTAGGTTAGATGTATTATATTAAAAATATTTTTCTCTCGTCTTCAGTGCTTTAAAAAAGTAAATCTTAAAAAAATCCACAATTATGCTAGACGAATAAGAATCCTCCGTTTTGTGATGTACTTCAAATAACCAAGCATGCAGTCTTATTTTTTTCTTTCCAGCTCTGTCCTGAATTGGCATTGCTGCCCTTCTGTTCCATTTTATCTGAATTGGCTTTAGCTTTTAGATAGTACCATGAGGTTACTTAACAAATAACCACTTCTACAGACTGAATTTTTTCAAATGGAAAACATTTCTGTTCTTTATTTTACAGCTAATAAAACAGCAGCAGGCTCTGGAAACCGTCCTGGGAGTGTTATACGTGTATATGGGGATGAAAACAGTGATAAAGTGACTCCTGGAACATTCATACCATATTGTTCAATGGCACATGCACAGCTTTGTTTCCATGGACACCGCGATGCTGTTAAATTCTTTGTTGCAGTGCCGGGTAAGCTCTGTAATCCTGTTTTTTAAAAGTGGGGGCTTTGCTTTTTAAAATCCCTGCTCTGGATACATTGTTGAGACAGGTGGAGCCAGTGTGAGGGGAAGACTTCATGTTCAGAAATGGATTTAAGATTCTAGGCTTTTAACCATCGTGTATTTGAAGGGAGACCTCCTTGCTTCTGAGACTGTGGGTCCGTGTTTCAGTTTAGAAAGTCCCACCGGGTTTAGTCTCTTTAAAAAGTAAGGAAGTAATCTTAGCATGGCCAGCATTCTGTCTTTGGCTAACGTGAAATCTAGTATCAAGGCTGCGAGTGGCTGAATCCATGGTTGGCCATCAAATAAGTCTACCAGAGTCGCTGCCCCTCATCAGTTAGTTTGAAGATCTTTTCATTTTCAAGTTGCCAAATAAAAACTAATTGTTTTTTCTGAAATATAGGTCAAGTTGTTTGTCCACGCAGCAGTAGTGGAGCAGAACTATCAGGCGATAAACCTGCCCAAGAATTCTTCAGCCAAACTCTCTTAAAATCTATGTTGGTGATAAGTGGAGGAGAGGGATATATAGACTTCAGGATGGGTAAGAAGTTGGATCTTGCAAAATGTTTATTTTCCTTACCTTTGTATAATTCAGTAAAAGTGCTTTATGACCATTAATGACTTGATCTATTTTCCAATTAAAAGCTAAATCTGTTATGAGGCTTCTAAGGAAAGAGACAGTGATTTGTGAAAGCTGCTTGTGTCTTAATTTGTTTAGATAAATATAAAACTGAGTTGGAACTGTGTAATCATGTTCATTCTGAAAATTAGTTATATTAGTCTTAGGGACATTCATCTAGAAGGATTTCAGTGTGTGTAATTTAGATGTGCTGTAGTTCACGTGTTAACTATCTAGAAATCTCTTCACTCAGCCACTTCTGAAATGCCATCTTTGGGGTAAAGCCCAAACACTGGCTTAACAGCTACTCTGCCTAAGCTAGGACAAGTGGTTCATTATTTGGGAAGTGGGAGTGGTCTTCCTATTTTCATTATTGGGCAAATAAGTCAATGAGATTTGAACTCGGGCTGTGGGGAGATGAAGAGATGGATAAAGTGAAAAGATTTTAGTTAAGTCTTTCTATCAAGTTTACATTAATCCACACACGAATATTCATTAAGCCCCCTTTTTCAAGCCTTGAGCCATATTACAGTTTTCTTGGACTACTTTGGCAACAAGGAATGAAGTCCTTTTGTGTTTAGCAATGTAAGATTAAGTATGCATCCTTGGCTTAATTTACCTTTTCAACTGGTTTTTTGATTACACAAATCTTTGTCCAGAAATTTTTAAAGTTTCCTTTATAAGAAACTAGGGGGCTGTGCCCTCTGCTCGTGCTCGCCAGCCTCCCCTCTCATAGGGGGCAGGCAACGCTGGCTCTTCTCCTCCACCTTCTCCTCCCCCCCACCAGCCAAAGCTGCCCCCCCTCTCACACCTGCCCCACTGCACCAGCCCGGGCTCCCTTCTCCCTCCCCCCTTTCTCTTCCCTCCCGGCAGTGGTGCATCCCAGGCCCGGCTCTAACCCTGGCAGCCAGGAGGCTCAGGGTTTTCTGCCACCCCATATGGCGTGCCATGCAACGCAGGTAGTGCTGTGTGCACGTGGCACTCCAGGGCACTGGCAGCCTGCTGAGGTGAGGAAAGCAGCAGCATGGGGGGCTGCTGTCCTGGTCTCTGCCCCGTGTGGTCCTGCCTGCATTGCTCACTGCCCCAGCCCTGCCCACAGAACCCAGGGCTGGCCGTCTACCCACTGGGAGCAGAAGGGGAAGAGCAGACAGGTCGATGCAGCAGCTCCCCTGGGTGCCTTGTGGGTACTCTGGCAACCACAGTAAGTGCAGCTGCTGGGGAGGGGATGAGTCTCTGCAGGGGTAGCTGGACTCAGGGCAGTTGGACACCACATTCCAGTTCCCCAAGAGCCTAGTGGCAGGGGAGCCCCTGAGAGCCTATTGTTGGCACACAGTTCCAGCTGGGAACCCCCTCCTAGTGCCTGTCCACAAGCTGCTGTCTTAAGCACCCCACCCCCACCCTGCCCCTGGGCTGTCACAGCTGCAATGTGGGGCCTGCCCGCTACTCTGCCATGTTCCTTGGCATTGAAAGTCCTGTGGGGTGGGGGGGGACAAAGGGGAGAGTAGGGCCTTGGTTAGAAGTAGCAATTCCAAATGGTGAAGGGAAGCAACGAGGTTGGGCTTGAGTTGGTTGGGGGAAGCGGGGAGAGAGGGAGGAGGCAGGCAGGACGCCCCACAGGAAAACCTTTTTTTACTATATAGACAGAAAAGGAATAATCAGTTCACAATCCAGATCTGTGCATCTCCTTTTTTCATCCAGGAGCTGGTAATGGTTCCTGTTAGGGATGTTAAAAATTGCTTAATATGATAACCGTGTATCCACTAAAAATCTTAGAGGTTACACAGGTTGTGGGCTCCGTAGTATAAAGCTTATCCAGCTCCTGGGGAAGAGGCTTTGCTGTGAAGCCACCTCCCCGGGAGCTGGCTGAGTGTGACTGATTCCATTAACTGATAAACATCAGCGTATTAGTCAATTGGTTATTTGGCTACACAATCCCTAGTTCCTCTCTAGGTAACCCTCTTCCATTGACCTAACCTGTGTAGGCTTGGTGTAAATTTACCAGATAAACAAGCTTCAGAGGGGTAGCCGAGTTAGTTTGTAACAGGAAAATCTTTAAAAAACAACAAATAAACTAGTAGCACCTTAAAGACTAACAAAACATGTAGATGGTGGTATGAACTTTCATGGGTGCAACCCACTTCTTCAGATGACATATAAACAAGGGTTTGCTTAATCAAAAGTCCATGAATGAGAAACATAACAGTGAATAGGTATAACCACTATGACACAGTTAACAATGTGCAAATCCTTTCCCCCTTTTTTGCCAAAACTATAAAATCAAATCATAGTCATAAAATTAATGTACTGCCCTGCAAATAGAAAGTTTATTGAAAAAAGTGTGGCTGATGAGCTCATGGTTGTATCTAATTTTGACTATATTAGAGAGATAGAAGGTGAAACAAAGGGGGGGGGCGGGTAGAATATCTCACATTCTATGAAGACAGTGCAGATTTTTAGCATGCCACTGTCTGGTGGAAAAACCTGTAACATACAACTGAAGATCAAGTATGGGCAGTGTTCAGATTCCTAAGTCATGCTATGATTTATTCAGTCTCATCTGCCCAGACAACCATTTCAAGCCTTTTTAATGTTTTCAGTCTGTTTCTACATCACCTGGTGTATTAACTCTTCTGCATGGCTGTCGTGTGAGGGTTATATGCTGTAGTGGGATGGCGTGTTAGCCTATCACCTGCAAACAGACTTCAGATTGGGGTGGGCAATAATTTTTGAGCAGGGACCACTTCGAAAATGTTTGAAGAAGTTGTGGACCTTCCCGGAAGGGGCAGGGCCTCGGGTTGAATGAGTGGAGCCTTTAAATAGCAGGAGTTGAAAGGGCTCGTGCCTCCCCTGCAGTTCCCAGGCATCCTGTTAGCCAGAAACAGGAGCTGTGAGCCCTTTCGCTTCCTGCTATTTAAAGGGCTCACTGCTCCCCTGTTGCCTGGGAGCTGGAGCCGCAAGAGCCCTTTTAACTGCTTCTCTTTAAAGGGCCTGCCTTCCCTGCTGCTCCCGGGCAACATGCTAGGAGGTGGAGCCTGGAACAGCTGTGCGAGCCAGATCTAAGCCTTAGGCAGCCTGGATCTGGCCCTCAGAGTGGCTTTTGCCCACCCTGCTTCAGATGGTAGTTCAGGTCAGTGGTCTAGGCCAAACTTCCTTTTATGCATAGGAATCACAAAATGACCCGTTTGTACAGAACTGGTTTCTGTCCCAGGGTAGCAGTGTAGCACTGTGGTGCCAGAGGGGTTAGGACTGAGGTAGAGTGGTTGAGTTCTGTGGTAAACTAATGGTGTGAATCAGTTAAAATTAGAACAAGTACTGGGAAAGGAAAGACTAAAGAATTCGCAGCAGACTTATTTTAAGTGTTACAGATTCATTAACATTTCATACTGACAGTTTGTATTCAGTTTCCAGAGGTCAGAGAAGCATCTTATGTATCCGGATGCATGGCTCTGTTTTATTTGGCTTATATATTTTATTTGGCTTTTCCTCTCTGTTGCAATCACACTCAAAGCAACACTTCTACTTTGGTGATATGCAGTGTACACATTGTGTCACTTCTCTACTTGATTTGATGGTGTACCCTTGCATCAAACCTTAAATTAACAGAAAATAAATAGAACATTTCTCAGTGACAGTTAACTTAGGACATGGCTAGTATTAAAATACACCGTTTTCAAAATGCACTGCTGTGGAATATTTGAAGTGTGAGTTTCCAGCTTGTTAACTTTGGTTTTTTTTTAAGGGTTTTGAATCTACTGCTGCTATAGAAGCATATGGCAACGGCTGTCTTATTATGTATTTTCTGTTCCCTCAATGCCCTTTCCTGTGAATAGTGCTAATGCCAGTTTATTTTCATTGGTATGTTCCGCTTAATCTAATATGTGGTTGTTTCTCAGGTGATGAAGGGGGGGAATCTGAGCTCCTTGGAGAAGCTCTTCAACTTGAACCTTCTGTAGCCAAAGCGGAAAGGAGTCATCTGATAGTGTGGCAAGTAATGTACGGCAATGAGTGAGCCTACCAAGGCTTCTGCATGTTTTTTATTTTTGCGGAAACATCTGTTTCACTACATGATGTTGAAGCATTTTTTTGCTGTTTAACTTTATATCGCAAATCTGTCAGACTTTAACAATACAGGAATTAGCTTGTGCTGTTTTACTGCACCAGTGTTACATAAGTAAGATCAGTATAATGAAGAAATCAAAGTATTTTCCTTTTTCAAAACTGGTGACCACTGTGGTAAGCAGTCCAGATGGCTCACAGTACCACAACAGTCTTGTGTAGTTCACTTCTTTTGCTAGTATCACTTTTTATCACTGAGCTAAACTTCATTACAACTGAGATTAATTTATCGATATGACATAGAGTGAAACAGCAAAGTTATTCCCAGTGTATTATATAACATTGACCAACTAATATCAGATGAATTGTCAAAATTAATGTAAACTTTCAATGAGGGCTAAGTGAATTGTAAATTTTTATTTTGTAACATGACAAATTTTGTTTATATAGTGTATACAGTTTTGTTTGTGGTTTTTCATCAAAACTTTTGGCGGAAGAGGGAATTGTATAGCAGAACGTAAAGCAACAATAGTTAAATAAAATGTCATGTTTGCTGAAGAGAACTCTAAAGATCTACTGCCCTCGATAATTAACAGTCTGGAGAATGATTATTTTCTTGTCAATTGTCAACATTTGAGTAATTTTCCAAAGGACACTTAGTCATTGGGATGATTATTAAACTGAAAAGTTGTAAAATCTTGGAGCAGGGGATATATTTTTCTTCATTACTTAAATTTATGTATCTTAGAGAGATCTTATCTTCTCTGCCTCGCTAATCAAACTCATGAGTAACTGTTATGGAGGCCGGAAACCTCAAACAGAGAAAGAGAACTGATTGACAAAAAAAGAAAAAGCGTTCTTCCCAAGTGAAATTGCAAAGAACTTCAGCTTTATAATTATGCAAGAAACACATTGTTGGCTCCATACCCCTGGTTAGTTTATGAAATCCTATGTTTATTTAGAGAGAAGAAAAACATTAAGTAACATTAAAATGAGTTAACTGACAGAAGCCAGGAGAGTCGAATGTCAAGGTGAACATTCAACCTACTCACCATATATTTTTTTAACCACAATAGTGTGGGTTCAGGATTGAATATTTTCCTTTTGCTTTGAATTTCCTGGGCTGAAATCAAAACTGAGATGAATACTTCCTATGTAGTTTTTCTGTAACATGTATAACACTTAACCAGTATGTTCTTGAATTGAGTCTCTGAAAAAATAGATTTTTTTTTTAAATCTAAATATTCATGACGTGCCCCCAAAAGACTGGGACTGTCTGAGCAATCTGTTTAAGTGACTAAATGGAACAGTTTCAAAGGAATAAATATAAACTTTTTTAAAAACTGCCTAAACATTTTTATGCAATAGGGAGCAGTTCTGGTCTATCAGGCAAACGTGTTTATATATTTTTCTTAATTTTTTAAAACACATTTAGCTGAAGTCTATTGTGTAAATATATATTTAGGCAGCTTTTTTCAAATGCATATCATATCTGATAAACCAGAAAACCTCCATTCAGGTCTATTGGTTAGATTTATATGTATAAATACTTTTTAAACAGCATATTTTGTACACAACTGTTCCGCTCTCGTAAATATGTATTTAGGTCATAAGCTATGTAGTAAAAATCCTTATTAAAAATGCCTAATATCTTGGTATTGTATTTTCTCTTCAAAATGCCAAAGGTGATGCGTGTTGTTCACAAATCACTTTCCAAATTTTCATCTTCAAAATCACTCTTGAATTGCTATGGCTTAAATATGAAATCTGGGAACTAAAAAAGTGCATGAAATTATCAGATTGTCTTAAACATTGTTATAATAAAAAAACTATTTAAAATATAGAAATTTAGATTTGTATGCTGAACTTCAAGCACATTTGAGTTATATCTCATGAAATTGGTGTCTGAGAAAAATGCTGACTAACTGCAAACATCACTACGTTGCTCCTCCTGCCATCTTTCCTTTTAAATTTAACTTACTGGCTATTGGGAAAATGTTCAAGTTTTGTGTGTCAGTGGATTTTCACATTCACATATTCTCAGAAAAAACGCACAATTTTGTTCCTTAGATCTTAGATAGCATTTTATTTGTAATTAATTAATTGTTTCTCTGAACTGCTTCACTGATGTCAAATAGAGCAGATGTGTCTGGCAAGTGCATACCTAGTCTTTTTTGCCAAATGTGTCTGGTACACTGTGCCAGTTTAACTTCAGTGGACCAGCTCTTGCAAATGACTGCAGAGACAGAAGTGTTTCTGTCCAGCAGTGGAGGAGTTTTAAAGAAAACACTAGCTGGCATTACAGTACAACTATGGGTGTAGGAGGAGGAGAGGGTTGCACATTACTCTGCATTATTCATTTAAAAATGTATCCCCTGCCCTAAGGAACAGTAGATTAAGGGGGTACTTAGTCTCATAACGAAGCACTGGGATTTAGAAATTCCACATCACTTTGAAAGATGAACAAAGCACGTAAAACCCCATGTATCAAGATGACAAATGCCTAAAAATCTAAATCTCAAGAATGTGTTTATGCGTCACAGACTTGTGGTTTAAACGTCCTATAAATAGGAATAAATTTCTTGATAGCTACAACTTGTTAATAGTTTGAAAACATTTCGAGCACAAAATTATGCAGCACATTACTTGTCTGGATAAGTGTGTTTGCATGGTCAAGGTAAAATGACTTATAAGCTGCTGTATTGTTCATTTCTTGTAAAAGGTCTTCCTGCATTGGATCAGATAGAGCTGGCAGAGTGTAGACACTTTATCATAGGCTGCCTTAGTAACAAACAAATGTTAAATCTGTTTTATTATACTAACTGTTCTAAAGAACGTATGTCTTTAAAATGGTGTGTAACTGAATATTTATTTCCATGTGAGTATTATAAAAGTTACCAAAGGATTAAACCTGATTTAGCACTCTTGTAAGTGACCCTGTTGAGCTGGGGTCTTGTAAGTGACCCTTGTCTGTAAAATGAGACAGTTGGAAAAAAAATACAGCTCTATGCGGAAGTTAAATATTTTTTCTAACAGGGTTATGCCATATTGTAACAACATATGTTGCACCTCAGAGCATTTTTCTATACACTAAGTATCTGTCCAATCCTCTAACAAATTAAGTTTCCTTTATTAATTTTGTTGCACATTTCTCAACCTTTTAAATCTATTTTAAACATTTTATGGCCTGTAATTTTTTGACAGTTTTGTCTGTTAGACACTTTATGCTGAATTTTACTTGCCTCTGTAACCTGAGATGGATACTACAGCGTTAAACTTGCTGTCTGTTAAAACTTGAGGCTTTTCTTTGAGCAAGAAAGCTCATCTAGCAGTGTAGTTATTTCAGTATTTATTTCTATTGAATCCTTGGGGTTCAGAATGTAACTTTGTACATGAAATATATATAAATATGTATATGAAACATGCATTGACTGTGGTGTTTTCTTTATAGTCTCATGCTAAACATGTGTAACAATTGATACCAGAAGACAATTGTCAAACAGTTTTAAACTAACAGACAAACAACTTCATCTGAAGTCATCAATGTCAATTTGCAATATCTGTAACCAAGAGCCAGGTTGCATACTCTCATGGTAAAATCAGCAGGATTTTAAACTAAGGAAACTCTTCATGGAGTTTCTTATTGATTGCTTGGGGATGAGCAGACAGACACTTTACCTCTCAGTAGAAAGAACTGAATCTATTCACAAACCCCATGAAATTGCAAGAGCCCTGGTTTTTCAATATCCACTCTAGCTTCCTAATGGCTTATATACCTCTCCTGACCACAGCTGTTCAGCAGCTCCATAAAAGGATGAGGTATGAGGAAGGGATAAGAATTTAGCCTGATCATTCACTTTTTCAAAAAGCATCTCTCTGGACTGGCTGGAGTTACAGGGCTACTGGACCCTACAGAGCACTAGACCTTTTGGTTTTGTAGACAGTAGTCCAGATCAGTGTTCCCTGTAAGCGGAATGCTTGGAGGCCCATCTAGAAGAGATTTAAATGTCGCTCAGCTAAATAGCAGAACTCCCAAAGTTTGTGTTTCTACTAGTGGTGCACATTTGCACATGCCTTGGTGCACACAAAATTGATTCTGCACATGGAAAAAATTAGAGGGAATGTTGATGGAATCTTGATTTTTTTTTTATCTAGAAGGATTTATTACAGAGCATCAAGCACAAGCACAATGACTGCCCTGCTGTATTTGACACAGCTATTCATATTCTACAAGAGTTTGCTTCTAAGGTTGTCTTCCCTGGGGAGTTATTTGAGTCCGCTCCCCTGCTGTTAGCATAGCTCAAGGGAGAGCAGCCACAGAGTGTGATGCAAAGTTCCAATGGCAGTGCTGATTGGATGGCAGCTTATTTAGAATTGTATTATCACTCTAGCCACAGGTGCCCCTGCAATGGCAATATTTAAACTTGCTTACGGTCCAGGAGCGGGGAGGAAGACCAGGTCCAGCACGCTGAAACTGCCACTCTAGATCCAGAACTGGGCCTGGGAGCAGCAGGTAAGAACCCCCCATGACTTCCCTTCTCAGCCTGATGCAATCTCCTCACCCCTGCACCAAGTCTTGGTTCTTCCCCCAGTTTCTTCTCCAATACTTAGACTGTAGTGCAGTACCTGAGAGGCCAACCAGCTCCAGTTTAACACATCACCACACTCAAATGTAGGGTTTCTGTGTGTGGGAATAGTTAGTGGCAGCACACGCATTAACTGCAATGAAGACAAGTTCTAAGTGACTTTCAGGTAGAGCAAGCTGCACATGCTTAACCTTGACATAACACAGGCATGGTCTTGCCTTCCACCCAGTTCTGCTGGGAGCCTCTTAATGTAGCCTGATCTGTGGGTTGTTTGGTCAATTTTAGGTTGTAGCTCATCCATGCTCTGAGTCTCTTTTATTGAACATTTTTACCCAGGGCTTGTTAAGGTGGGGTATCTTAAAGACGTGTTCTTTTCTGTTCTGGCATTTTCCCTCTGGTCTTGGGAACACCAATTTAAAAACTAGCTCACTTTGTAGCTGTAGCCAGTTCTTGTCCTTTATTGCTTATGACTTCCCTGGTTAACTTTTTCCTCTCTTTTTTAACTTTTTACTGCCTTATTCACTTCCTAATTATAGTTTTGTTTTTTAAATAGCTGGCTCCATTCACAGGCAAAAATCAACCTATAATTCATGTGTTAAGAATCTAGAGGATTTCCACTTCCCAGTGCAGCTCATGAAATAGTTCCTGGCACTGAACTGTATTTTCCAAGTTTTCTTTACACCTTGCCAAATTATCTGACTTGATTCTTTCAAGCCAGAAAAGCAAGTTGAGCTATTAGATCCCATACACAAAAAAGGAAACAGTGAATTATAAAGGTAATAGGAAAGAGAAGAGTGACAGTGCCAAGAGATGCAATCTTCATGCATGGACACGATGTTCAACTACAGTAAGCTTCCAACTTTTGCTGGCTCGCCTGTTGCTGTTCAGTTCCATCTGTTAGATGTGTGGCTTAATTAGTTTGTAGCAAACGACCACCTCCCTTTACATAGTCTCTACAATAGCTTCACTTACGGAAATATAAAGTGGCTACTTAAAAGATACAACTGGCCTACAAATATTTGTAGTAATTGGATGTGTGTGGGGGGAGGGAGGGAGATGCAGGATCATGTGATCCTCTAGATTTCTGACGCCTCTTTCCAGCTAGGCAGCTAGCAGCATTGGTGGGGGGAGGGGCGGCTTGCGGAGCAGAGCCATCACAATCCAACTGGCTCAAAAGGAGTCCCGGGGCTCAATGGAAGGGCCATATAGCTGGGCAGCATGGTGGGGCCAGGCAGGTTAGGGCTACTACTGGTGCCCAGCAGTGAGGAGCTGAGCTCAGCTGATACCATCCCCACCTTCCCTGAACTAGCCGTAGATGCTGGGCTTGGCAGGGGCTTCAGCAGAGGAGCACCCCTGGCAAGAGGAGCATTGTCACATATGGCCACTGCTGCCATCTCACAGCCTAGGGAGCAGAGCAGCCTCATGCTCCCTGGGGCCCAAGCCAAGTGGGATGGTGGAGGGGCAAAGAGGGCTCCAAATCTCTTCCTGAGGGAGTGGGAGGGGCTGCTGCAGAGCCTGAGTTCTGGGCAGGAACAGACTGGAAACTGCTTCCCCCAGCCCACTCCTGCGCTTATCTGAGGGCTGGAGAGGCTCCCCAGCACTAGCATGGATCTGGGCAGCTGGGACGCACACAGAGCCCAGCTTCTCCTGGGCAGTGCCCCACGTGAGAGGTCTTGGGCTTTCCTGGGGTGCTGGCCAGGGAGGCGTGCGAACAGCCAATGGGTGAGCACTTGAGATGATGTGCAGGGGTAGGGAGTCAGGTGCTCCCCCAAGAACCTTTCAATTGTGCAGCTCCCCCCCATCAATGTTGACCTGCCTCTGGTGGATAAATTAGCCTGTGCTACGTGTGAGATGCGGAGCAGTGCCTAAAGTGAAGTGTGGGTTCTGGCATCAAACAGCCCCTGGCTCAGAAAATTTCCACAGGGTGACTTGACTTGTCAGCATTTAAAAAACCATGGATAGAAGTTTCTTGGAACAGCCTCTTGCCAATGAACGGCTATTTAGAACTGGCCACCTCAGAACCCTGAGCATTAGAAACGGGAAAGAAATAGACATAGAGCAGGGGTCTCCAACTTTTTTACACCCAAGATCACTTTTTAAATGTCAGGGCAAGCCAAGATCTACCCCACCCCTTCCTTGAGGCCCTGCCCTCTCTGTTCCCCTCCTTTCCATCACTTGCTGTCCCCAGCCCTTACTCACCCTCATTGGGCGGAGACAGGAGGTGTGGGCTCTGGGGCGGGAATGAGGGATTTGGGTATGGGAAGGAATGAGAGGTGCAAGCTCTGGGAGGGAATTTGGGTGCAGGAGGTGGTGGAGAAGGAGATGCTGGCTCAGGGAGGGGGCTCTAGACTGGAGAGAATTGGGGTCAGGTGGTGGGTTGGGGTGGTGGAGCAAGCTGCAGGCTTGTAGAGGTAGGGGTGCAGTAGTTTGGGTTGGGATGTATGAGGGGATCAGGGCAGGAGGGTTGGGTGTATGATGGGCTCAGGGCACAATTTTGTGGTGTGTGGATGGTGCAGGAGTGTTGTGGCACAAGACGGAGGATGTGGGTGGTGCAGGAGTTTGGGGATGTGAGGGGGCTCAGGGGCAAGGGGTTCAGGTATATGTTGGGGTCTGTTGGGGGCGGTGCAGGAGTGTTACGATGCTGTGGCCAGATGAGGGCTTGGTCCCAATTGGGGGCTTGTTGGCCAGCCTTCATTTTTAAATAAAATATGTCCCAGCACAAAATGTTTCAGCATTGTCTTTATTTATGGGAGGGGCGGGGAAACCTGTTTTGGGTCAGGGGCCACTGACCCACAGAAAAATCAGTCCGGGACCACACAAGTGAGATGCAAAAAAGCAACCCCTCCCAAACCCTCCAGGCCTCATTGATGTGGCCCCAACTAAGACACCTCACTCCTCTGGCACTCCAGCCCCATAGGGAGGGTAGGTAGGACTGAGATTCAAGACGTTAGGTCAGATAAACTCTCCTGAGGTTCCAGGGTTAGTGGATTTTGTGGGCCCCTCTATGCTCTGAGATGGGGCCAAAATTGAGGGATCCAGTGTGCAGGACAAGGCTGCCAGTGAGTGGGATACGGATGGGGTGCAGAATCTGGGTGGAAAGTAGGGTATAGGAGCAAGATTGGGGGTAAGTGTCTGGCCAGAAGGGAGGGGGTAGGAGCAGGGTGCTGGTGGGAGGTCTGGCCAGGGGGAGGAGCCAGGGTGCTAGTGGAAGGTCTGGCCAGGGGAAAGGTGGTAGGAGCAAGTTGGCCAGTACCTGGGGATTTCCAGGGACGAGGATTTCTGGGGTAGGATTTGCAGGCAGCGCTGGAAGCAGCACACATGCAGCTTCTTTAAGAAATGCAGCCGCTCCGCATCCTACACCACTGTCTTAATTAACCTCTCTCCCCTGGCCTTCCCAGAGCACGGGGGAGGAAGGGAAGACAAGAAGGCACACAAGTTGTTGTGGACAGGGGAGGAGCACACGCTTTCTTTTTTTTATCCCTTCCTTCCTCATGCTGCCTGTCTTCTTTCCTGTGGCATGGGGGGAAGGGGAAGTCCCAAGGCTCTGCACCAGACCTGGCTCTGGATTTGGCATGGAGCTGCAGGACTTCGTCCTCCCTGCCCCCACTTCTCCCATTGCCGCAGGAAGCCGGAGCTAGCTCTGTTTTTGTGGAAGGCTATAGTGCCAGCGCGGGTTCCTCGTTGGGGGTGGGGCGGAGCAAGCGGGGGCTGGGAACACTGCCTCGTGATCGACTGGCAGGGCCCCTGCGATCAACCAGTTGATTGTGATCGACTGGCTGGTGATCATGGATGTAAAGAGAATGGGGGTCTCGAAGTAAAGAAAAAGCTTGCAGGCCAAG